AGGTGATGGATGTGTGTGTGTGTGTGTGTGTGTGTGTGTGTGTGTGTGTGTAACTGTAAATTGTCTGCACCAAGAAAACATTCCAGATTGGGAGGACGACGCTCAAGCTCAGCCTGCTTAATAATTACCAAATGGTCCCTCCCCCTCTCAGTGTAGCTGTATATATTTTGAGGAATCTCTTCTGTTTTTGGTCTTGTTCTCAGAGTAGGAGATGAGAGGAGTAGTGAGAAACGGAGGCTAAAAGAGACGAGTACAAAGACTTTGGGACATTGGGAACAGACTGACACCGTGAACAAATCTGCCTTCAAACCACCTGACATGATGTTGATTTTCCTGCTTTTTTGGCTAAGCTTGTCAACAACAAGCGCAGCTCCCAATCTAAAGAAAGCACCCACAGAGGCACCTCTTCTTGTCACCGCACCGCCAACTGAGGCTAGATCCCGCTTTGCCATGTTAGATGACGTACGACTCCTTGCTAACGGTCTTCTCCAGCTCGGCCAGAGCCTCCGAGAGTTTGTGCACAAAACCAAGTCTTCCCCTCCAACCAAAAGAGAATTGAGACACCCCTACCCCTTCACGTGAACGCGCGAAACGGAGGGGTAGGGGCAAGGGGAAGGGCTAAGGGGTAGAATTGGGATTGGGCCTTAGTGTGTTGTGTGCCAGAAATTTACTTACATCAGGAGAGAGAACAGAGTAAGACTGAGGCGGTTAGCTCCCAATCTAAAGAAAGCACCCACAGAGGCACCTCTTCTTGTCACCGCACCGCCAACTGAGGCTAGATCCCGCTTTGCCATGTTAGATGACGTACGACTCCTTGCTAACGGTCTTCTCCAGCTCGGCCAGAGCCTCCGAGAGTTTGTGCACAAAACCAAGTCTCAGATCAATGACATCTTCCAGAAGCTCAACATCTTTGATCGCTCCTTCTACCAGCTCTCGGTGGTCACCAGTGAAATCAAAGAGGAAGAGGAGAAGTTGAAAGAGACGACCATATTTTTGAAGGCCAATAATGAGGAGATCAGAAACTTGTCACTGGAGATCAACTCCAAAATCAACAACATCCTCCAAGAGCGAAGCCAGTTGCACAGCAAGGTTGGTGGGCTGGAGGAGAAGCTGAAGGGCTTGTCTCAGAGCATGATGCCTCTGGAGCAACTTCAAGAGATCGCTGCTTTGAAGGTGAGTCCAGTAAGGTCAATTCTGAACTTTTATTGTAAATGGAAACCATTCAATCTCGCATTATAACTACAGGGCTTCACAATACCGATTTTAAAATGAATGTCTAAAACGGCATGTAAATCACATTTGATGGCAAGAGCAAAAACTAAATCAATGCATATCAATAAAACTGATTATATATCTGTACAGGCATCTGTTCATTTACTGCATTAACAACTTGTCTATTACAGGATGTGATTGAAACACAAGAAAGGACCATTACAGATCTGCTTAAATCTGTTAAAGAGCAACACGAACAGCTCAATTACCAGAAGACCAAAATTAAGAGTCTTGAGGATAAGGTATCCATTCTTGTTTCTATAATATTAATGTTATTTTCATTATAAATGAAGGATTATGTATTTAGAATTTATCATTCAAAGCATTTTTATTTAAAAGGTTCCCCACATCTTTGACAAATGAATTTACATTTACAGTACACATCTAATAGAGATTGCAATAAGAAAATGTTCTAACTAACAAAATATTTTGTATATTTAATACATTATACAATGTATTTTACTTTTTAAGAATTTGATTTGATTATACTGTCAAATAAAGAGATTTAAATGGTATAAATTAATAAATGTTTTAATAAATTAGATTTTAATAATGTCAATGTCAAGTAATAAGAAATTCTACTGAATATAAAATAAAGAATATTGATTGAATTTAAACTAATTCTCAGTGAGAATAAATATTCTCTTATTTCAGATGAACTATGACTCTTTTCAAGACACAGTTGAAAAACCTTTGGATTTAAATCCAGAAACACTTGACCCTTTTCGTTACTTAACAATGAACTCCACCAATGGAACTGCAGAAATAAATGGTAAGAACAGCACAAAATCAATAAGCAATTTAAACTGCTGCTTTAATAAATCCAAAATCATCAACTGTGTGCTCTGCTGCATAGACTTTCCAATGGACTGCAGTGATGTGTTCAAAAGAGGCCAAAGGACCAGTGGAACTTACCCAATCAAACCCAATCAATCTGAGCCATTCTATGTTTACTGTGAGATAAGGGCTGGTAAGAGACCGATAATGTACATCTAATCATCAGACTTCCTACTGATATCAGTTACAAAAACTGCAACAAGTACACACAAAGGGCACAAGAAAATTACTTTCTTAACTAAGATGGATGTGCTGTTATCACTATTCTTATCAAACTCAATACAAGATTCTCTTTTTACAGTTTACATTTACTCTTTATTTTTAGATGGTGCAGCCACAGTCATTCAGAGGAGGGAGGATGGTTCTGTTGATTTTGACCAGTCATGGGAAAAATACGAATATGGATTTGGCAAACTGGAAAGTAAGTATGCGCTTTTGTGTCATGTCAGATGTTTCCTTCTCTATCACAGCAACTATGCTTTTCTCAGTTCACACAGACTTTAAAAAAATAAACCACTTTGATTACCAATGAACAGCTTATGCTTTTGTATTACAATGCATCTTCAGCTGTTGACAAGAGCTATGCGGAAATATCTTTGTGTTACAGAAGAGTTCTGGCTTGGCTTGGCGAAGATTTATTCCATTGCTCAACAAGGACAATACATTTTACACATTGAACTGGAAGACTGGAAGGAGGAAAAGAGATTCATCGAGTACACATTCATCCTGGCAGGTCCTGCATCTGATTACGCTCTTCACGTGGCACCTCTGTCTGGAGATCTGCCTGATGCCATGAGCAACCACACGGGCATGAAGTTCTCAACCAAGGACAGAGACAACGATAATCATGACGAGTCAAACTGCGCCCGCAACTACACCGGTATCACATGGTCAAAATTAATATTTAATATCCTTCAATATACAACTGAACATCCCTTGAATATTAACTGTTTGCTGGTTTCAGGAGGTTGGTGGTTTGACGCATGTGGGGACACCAACTTAAACGGGAGATACGCCTGGATGAGGTCGAGGACTCGGCATCAGCGCAGGAAAGGAATCTACTGGAAGCCAGCCAAAGGAAGCTCCTATACCCTCAAATCCACAAAGATCACCATCAGACCATCAACCCAGTTTCAATAATCCCTGACCCTATACTCTCCATTGGGTAATGCAGAATAAATCAGAGGGGTCACACTGGCAGCAGACACTGGCCAACAAAGCTTTTCCCTTTCTCTACAGACAGCAGAAACTGAATGATGCAACTGCAACAGGTCACTGACTCTGGTAGAGGGTAAAAACCAAGTCAAAGGGGTATTGCAAAATGCATGTGTTAGTTCGAAATCTTTATAGGTCATTAACTTGCAGCTTGCAAGTTGTTAAAAAAACTAATATTGAACAGGTTAAAATGGCATAATCACACCTCTGGAACAGGATTTGATGCATGTTATTATCAAGAGTCTACAAGAATCAACAATAAGTTTGTAGACAATATGGATAATATTATAGAACTACATTGCTCTCAACTACAGAGCTTCTCAATGTCATTTCCCATACAGTATGTTAACTTGAAGTTTAGTATTTAAGCAATTTACACAAATTTGCAACAGTAAAAAAAGCAACGGGTAACACTTTGTAATAACATTCATTAAATCATGACTACAATGCTTATGAACACACGACTATAATATATTAAATTATATATTATATTATATATTCATATTTGTAATTTTGATATTGAAAATTATTACAAAGTGTTACCAAGAAATGTGTTGTTATGGTTGAAGTTGGATCTTTTGCTTGTCTCTTTCTGTTACTGAGTCATATTGACTCCTGGTTATGATTTGTACATACTCAGCTGTACTGTATATATTTCGTTTACACAATGTTTCTCATTGGTAGTCAGGTGCATCATATTTATAGCAACACATTTAGACAATAAGGCAACTTAAACTATACTTGGACTAACATGGCAAACCTTTTTCTTTTCTTTTTTTAAAGTGGCAATATTGTAAATTTCACTACGTAATAATTAAAACAAATTTGAGCAATATCTTCTCAAGAAAACAGTATGTGACCAACTTCACTGCAGGCTCATATAACTGAAATAAACCAGTTTCCAGACAGTTTAGACTACTGTTAGTTCATGGGGGAGGAAAAAACTAATTTAACCGATAATAAATAAATAATCCAGCAGGAGGGTCGAGCTTAACCTGTGTGGGAAATCAACCCTTCATAATTAACAATAATATGACCTGCATATACAACAGACATGACAAGTGTGATAAATAGGGCTGGGTATCGTTCAAAAATTGATGGTGTATAATTTGTAGTAAAATAATAATGTAAAACCGAAAATAATTTAATTGAACACTATTTGAGGTATTTGGCATCACAGTCTGGAGGCGACATACTTCTCAACGACGTACTTATCACGTGTCTGTGGAGGCGACGTACTTCTCAACGACGTACTTATCACGCGTCTGTGGAGGCGACGTACCCTTCTTACACGTAAAAGTACACGACTGTCAACTCCGGCAGGTAATCCTGTCACATAATACTCGCCATACACGTACGTTATCCAGACACAAAGTAAACAAAATAATTTTTTTGTTACGTCGCCGCCACGCCTCCGCGCAGTTTGAGCGCAGCTCCGACACGTGACCGTGACGTCTAACGTCTCATATCTTACGTCTGACGCCTGAATACTATGGGATTTTGGCCAGACGGCTGGCGAGCGTATACACGTTTGTTCTCTTGTCAGTTTGCATAGCAAGAGCAAAAATTGCACAAAATACACCTCATACAAGTCAAACTGCGCCTGTGTTGAGCTCGTCCGTCTACACTCATCCGCGGTTGAGTATACTTCGAAGGCTGTGCGGCCACGGCTGAGCGCGAGACGGAACGGAACGCGTAAAGTGAAGTATACCCGGGCCTTTATTGGCTCACTGACGCTGATGAGATTAACCGCTTAGGTATCGAAATTTGGTACCGAACGACGAGACGTTCTTTGATACTCGATGGTATCGAGGCAATTCGGTCGGTGCCTAAAAAGTATCGAACTCGATACCCAGCCCTAGCGATAAATCTAGAACATGCATGTTGTCTGCAATAAATCATGTCCCAATCTGCCCAGTCAGCACAATCTAAATCAAGGCTGACTATGCGGCATGTGGGGAGGAAGATAACAAAGTTGGCACAGGCTGAGAGCGGACAAACGTGCCCTCTGAATGACAGGTTATGTCAACTTGCAGAGGATAGGCATCTTTGTCTGGTCAACCTTGACTAAATTAGTAAGCTTAAATAGCGGTGAGGCCGTCCGTCACACAGAGTGTGCTCTGGTTACTTAGCAATAAGAAAAAGTGAGACAAGGCATTTCTTTAAAAAAAATATATACTTGTTTGTGTTGGCGTCTGAGGCCAATTTATATGATCTAGACCAGGGGTTCTGAGAAAACACTTGCCTGAAACACCTCGTTTGTAGTCCTGCCATTATTTCAGTGACTTAGCAATGTCACCATGATACACATTTTCATAATGCCTGGCTAGTGGCTGCTTTGGTCTGCCCTCAAACGCTATGATGCTTCGCTATGTCAAGGAGACGCAATTTTTTCACTGCAAGGGCAAAAAACATTATATGGACTTCCAATAATTACGCCATAGTTACATAGATATATAATACTGTTTACAGTTGCTCACAAAGCTTTGGGAGTTGAAACCCAATTATGGTAAGGGGAGTAATATTTGAGACACACGCTGCAAACGGTTTAACAACCACAACAGATTGTACCAGATGACCAATTAGAGCTGACTGGACTCTTCAGAAAGGCAAGCTTTACTAAAACAGAGCATTTCAGGCAGAGAGTGAAAAGACGTGCTGCAGCAATATACAGTCTGTGAAAAATAATGTGCTTTTTGAACTTTAAGTCATGTGAAAGCATTCTAGTAGACCCCTAAAAACAAAACTATGAACTTGTAAATAAGCATAAAATTCACATAAAAAAGTAATTGGTTAAAAAGTGTAGAAACACTGAAGAACATTCAGCTCCTAAAATTTCTGAAATCCTGAAATGTAATTATTTCAGATTGAAATATTTTAGTTACTTGAAGTTACAAAACTAGGAGTGCACATAGATTAAGCTTTGAAAAGAAAACTAGGGCTATCTGCTTGTAAGGTCTGACGTCACACATCACAGTTACCAGGTCCCAGCTCTTTATCAAATCCCAAAAGCAACAATATATGGTGCTAATATACATTAGAGATGTGCTGTACTACTACTGAAATACCATGATCCTTACCTTTATTCTCCTTATCAAAATTTTCTTATTTTCTGAATCTTTAAAACACTGGTTTCTAGGACACTGTGAGTCCAGGAACTGTAGTGTACATCATGAGTCTTTAAAAGTTTAGCTTAAAGGGGTCATATGATGTTGCTAAAAAGAACATTATTTTGTGTATTTGGTGTAATGAAATGTGTTTATGCGGTTTAAGGTTCAAAAAACACATTATTTTCCACATACTGTACATTATAGTTTCTCCTCTATGCCCCGCCTTTCTGAAACGCGTCGATTTTTACAAAGCTCATCGGTCTGAAAAGCGAGGTGTGCTGTGATGGGCCAGCTATCCAGTGCGTTGTGATTGGCCGAATACCTCAAGTGTGTGACGGAAATGTTACACCCCTTACCATACTGTGATGCCCTGTCTGGCCGGAGCGACGAGACAAAAACATTAAAACCCATTATAAACGAGGCATTTGTTGCATCCAGTGGGGACATAATTATGGATTATAATGACTTATACTGTCTTTTTACGCATTGCGTTGCATCGCGCCGCGTAAACATAAAACCATGTCTGCACTTGTGATCGGAGAAACAACAAACAAGCACTACTCTACAATGCTCAAAACTTACGTTTGAATCATCAGTGGCAAATCCTTTAAATATGAAAACGTACTTACAGTCTGTGAGTCAGAACAGCCGGCATTGTAGTCTACTCT